CAGAGAGAATACCTGCTGTTGAGATACGTTGAGAGATACGGAGACAGACACAGGGTGATCTCAGAGAGAGAGAGAGAGAGAGAGAGAGAGAGAGAGAGAGAGAGAGAGAGAGAGAGAGAGAGCGCACGCGCAAAGCCTTGGGCAGTTATTAGACTCTTATTATTGTCTAGACTAGCCGTGATTCGTTGGGTCACTGACGGTTCAATTTATAAAACATTTAAGTTGATTTTAGCATAAAAAAATAATTGTCTGAAGAAAGTTGAAATAAAAATACCTACTGTATAAACAACTCGTATTTTTGAATCTTATTCACTTCAAATGTATTTTTTAAATCAAATTAAGGATATTTTTTTAATAAGCCAAAAAGTATTATTAAATCATATTCACACGAGAATATTTTTTGAATGTGGCAAAAAATATTTTTTGAATATTTAAAATATTGTTTGTTTGAAGAAATTTGAAATCCTACATTCACAGAAAGGTGGAGAGAGAGAGAGAGAGAGAGAGAGAGAGAGAGAGAGAGAGATGATTATGGCTTTACTTACAGAGACGTGTACATATACTTTCTACTAACCCGCATTCCTGGATTACTAATCTTCACTTCAAGTCTGTGTTCTTACGTTTAATAAACTTATTTTTCTATCTCAATTACTGGCGTTGTTTATTTATTTGTGCAGAATTCCATTCACAGAATCCACAACACACACACATACACACAGCGCCTTTGCTGAAAAACACCCCATGAATTAAAATTATTATTATTCTTATTATTATTATTATTATTATTATCAACAGTTAAGTGAAGAGCGCGAATTAAGAAAACATCAAGAAAAGAAAAAAACAAAATGTTTGAAAATGTTAAACAATATTTCAACAGAATGTCTCCCTTCAAGTTATATTTAAACAATGTTTTCAAGTATAAAAATATATAAATCTACAAATTCTTGTGTCTTTATACAAACGTTGCTTGTCTACGATTTAATTCTGATTAAATACGGTAATTGTGACGCAAGGACGAAAAATACTTAAAATTTCAATATGTACAATTGTATAAAAGTTCTCTAAATGTTATGAAATATTCAGAAGTGAACAAAGAAAGAGATTAGTAAAACCCGTTCATTACTCAAAAAAAAAGAGTTGCAGTTGTATTCTTTCTTCAGACAAAATCAAGAGGCCTTCTCCCTCTCTCTCTTTCTCTCTCTCACTCTCTTTCTCTCCCATTTTCTCTAAGGAGGGGGGATAAAAAATTATGGACATTAGAAAATTCAAAGAACTGACCAAGTCAAGATAAAAAGTGCAGGCCAAAACAAACTGGGGAAACCTGGTAATGAACGCATCAAAATGAATGAAATGCTGCCAGCGTGACGTCATTCAACTGAAACGTCTTTAATATTATGATTTGGCTCAGCTTGAAATTTTCCATTAGTTGACTAGTTCCTAAGAGGAATTAATCAAACAGTTTAATATATATCTTATAGAACTCTTCTGTCATTCAGGCCATTCAGTTAGTAATTTGCTGACGTAACTATCCTCATACGTTTTAAGGGTCGGATAGTGTTATTATTATTATTATTTGTTTGCTATGTTTCCGGCTTTGTATAATGTATAGCTGAGTCCAAACTATGGTCTTTAGGCCCTATAATAGAATTTTCATTTAATTGATAGCATTTTTCTTAGTATATGGATGCTCCTAGTCCTGCGATCTTCTAGGCAGCTTATATGTTGACGTTCCTTGGGACAGTGTTAGTAAAATTGTCCATTCTTTTTCTCCCAAGGCCCAGAGCTCCGATTACTATTGGTACAATCTCAGTCTTCATTCCCCACATCTTGGTTATCTCAATCTCCAGGCCCTTGTATTTGAACAATTTATCCATAATTTTAATGGACGTGTTTCTCTCGGATGACACTACTATGTCAATAAACATAAACCATTCCTGAATTTATTTTCTTTTTTGATAATATCCTGTCTGTTAGCTTTTATTTCCGTGTCAGTTTTAATTGGCAATATCTAAGAGGATAGTTACATCGTTATTTTGTGTAACTGTGTCTGGTTGATGCTCATACCATCTCTCAGTGGTTTCGATTTCGTGCTTCTTGCATATCTTCCAGTGCACACATGTTGCTACGTTGTTATGTCTGTGGGTATATTCATTTTGAGATAATATGGCTGACAGTTTCATCATATTTTCCATAGATTCGGCATTTCGAATTAGTTCTATCCTTGAGAGTGATAGTATCTGGTTGCGGGGCGTTGGTCCCGAGCTGCAATAATTAGGCCTTGTCTCAGCTTTCAACCCGGTGCTTCTCAGCCACTGGTGTCTTTTCTGTTGGTCCACATTTGCTTCTTTCGTTCTTTTTTTGTTATTTGCCATGCAAAGCCTTGTACAATCTGTTTTTTTTTGGTGGGGAGGGGGTTGTAATTTTATTTGGCCAAGTTCTTTTGCTTTCTGTTTTACTTGTTTGGCGTAGATGGTATTCACTTCGGTTTTTGTTGGTAGGGTTTCAAGTATATTAAGCTGTTTCTTGAAAAATCCAGCTTCTGGATGGAGTGGATTTGGTATTTTACTATTTCTAGGAGAGGGTCATTGAACTTTTTGAGACAAATGCTTCCAATCAGATTGTTTCAGTGTTTTTAGAGTTAGTTCAAGTTGGATTAGATCTCGGCGTCTTAAAGCTTTTTGGTAGGTACAGTCCATCAACTTCTAATTTCGGGTGGTGCATCCTCATTTGGGTAAGCATTTTTTGGGGGTTTCATGTACAATACTTAAATATCATTCACCTTCCATTTTATATTCTTGAAGCGTTATGTTACTACAAGTATAGCTAAGGTGTTAATAGCCTTCATTTCATTGGATCCATTAAGTTTGCTTTCTAGTATCAAACGCACTCTTCTGTTATATTTTTCGGATATTTTTCTTCATAATTCGATGTTGTATTCCGTCTCTTTCATTAATTCCTAACTATTTGTATTTATCATCTTGGTCTAGTTCCTTAATCTTGTTGATATCAATGTTTAAATTTATAGTTTTCTTAGTTTAACACCTTTGAAGTGGCTTTGACACATTTACCGATTTCGAAATCAGTCCTAATATTTCCGCTAAAGGTTTTGAAAAGGGTGAATGGGTTTTCTGTTGGTTTTCATCTTTGGCAAACGTTTTAAGATCATCAGTACAGAATAGGCATTTCAGTTTGCCATTCTATGACTTGTATCCGTAACTACTATTATTCAGTAGGCATCTGAGTGGCGCTAATGGATGGCAGAAGAGTAGGGGTGACGATGAATCTACGTGGGAGACCCTGCTTTTGATGTTAATTGGTTTCGGTATTAATAACCCGTTTAAATGACTTAAGATTAGTGTAGTCTTCCAGTTATTCATGCGCTCCGTGATGAATTTGACCGTTGTGGAGCGTATTCAGTATATTTTTAAGTTCTTCTCTAGGCATCGAATATTGTTTTATTGATACTTCGTTGGTCCTTGCACCAATAACTTCCTGCTGTACATCCCTTCTGTTTTGCTGTCAGTAAATTGTTTTTCTCAAAGAAATTGTATGTCTTCTTGGTTATGACAGAAGTCAGTATCTTGTACATTATTGGTAGACACGTGATAGGTCTATAGTTTTTATGGTTCTGCGTCTCTTCTGTTTTAGATAGTTGGTATGTCACTCCCCACGTGAGCAATTTGGGGCATTTTTCGGGGTTTATGAGTATATTACTCTATGCACATGCGAGGTCTTAGTGGATAGTTTTTTATCCAAAAATTAGCAATTCGGTCTATTCCTGGTTCTTTTGCAGTTTGTGATTTTGTAGATGACAACGGTTCTTTCAGTAATATTGATATCCGTCCATTTTTGGCACTCTATATATATGTGTGTTGTTCGTGATGTTGCTTGATCCATGTAGCTCTTTCATTGTGCATTTTGCAGTTTTCCCACTTCCTTCACCAGAACACCTCGACTTCCTGGATATTACATGGGTCATTTATCTCTATTTTTCCTAGTTCTCGATATAGTTTCTTAGCATCTTCTTTGAAGATCTATTTTTGCTAGAAGAAACTGTCTCTTTTTCATAACGCCTGATTCTCTGTGACTTCGCTTGAATTTGTTGTTTCAGCTTTTCTTTAACTTTTGGTACACCAGTCTTTATGTCGAAGCTTCGCTTCAGTTGTCTCCTTTATCTTTCTTTCATTTTTTAATCCTTGTCTACTTCGCTTAGAAGTGACAATCGTCCTCGTAGTTTATTTATTTTGGTTTCTATTTTTTCTTTCCAAACTTCTTTGTTTACGTTATGTTTTTATTTTTTCACCTGTTGTTTCTGCGATTGTTGCCGAGGCTGCGTATATAAGATGATTAATTTCTGTCAGTTTCATCGGCCTTTCTATTTCGTTCCTTATTTTTCTAATTGCTTGATTAGCAAGGTTGCTGGCTTACTTCACTTGACAGTTCTTTCTTATTTTTGGAATTGTCGACTTTTCCTCGAAAGACATTTCCTTTAGATTCTCCCGTATTTATATGGGAGAATGTAAACGATATAGTTATTTTGGAATATAGTTTTTTGACATCTGTTTCTCTCTCATATTTGTCATTATCTCCCTCTATTTGCTTGTGTACCTCAGAGGAATTATTACAACTAGTTTCTATTTGTTCCTCTGCATGTGTCTTCTCTGGGTTGTAGGCATTTAGCCACTCGATGTTAACGTTTAATTTTAAAATTTTGTTGTAGGTATTCTTTTTTCCCGAGGATGTCACGCCGGACATTGGTTAATTTGTTGACATCGATGTTTAGTCTGTTTGAGAGGAGTTTTTATCGACAGATATTATAGGCAACTTTGGTCGATGTTTGTCGGATTTATCGTAGCGGTGTAAAAAGTTATCATTACTTCAATATATTTTCATAGACCATTTATTTATTGTTGTTTTTGTGGTATTTTGGTTTGACGAATATAGAGGGCCTTTTTGAAAACTGTCCTCGGCGTGGTTTTCCTCTAGTTCTCGTTGGGTAGAGATTGTTCGAGTTACAGACCTCTCTGATTCAATCTCTCTTTCCCACTTCCCACCTCTATCTTTCAATCTCTCTCACTTTTCAACTCTCTCTATCTTTCCACCTCTTTCTTTCTACCTCTCTCTTCCCATGTCTCCTTGCATCTCTCCCTCTCTTTTCACCTCTATCTTTTTTTCACCTCTATCTTTATACCTCTCTTTTTCAATCTCTCTCTTTCCAACTCTCTCTTTCCACCTCTCTTTTTCAATATCTCTCTCTTTCAAACTCTCCCGCTTTCCACCTCTCTCTTCCAAACTCTCTTTTTTCAACGTCTCTCTTTCAGTCTCTCTTTCCACCTTTCTCTTTCAACCGCTCTCTTTCCATTTCTCTCTTTGAATACTCTTTCCTTCCACCTCCTCTTTCTACCCATTCTTTCCACCCATCTCTCTTTCTATCTCTCTTTTCCACCTATCTCTTTTAATCTCTCTCTTTCTACCTCTCACTCTCTTTCCACCTCTCTTTAAACCGCTCTTTTTACATGCCTCTCTCTTTCCCCCTCCCTCTCTCTCTCTTTCCACGTCTGTCTTTCCACCTTTCTGTGAATGTAGGATTTCAAATTTCTTCAAACAAACAATATTTTAAATATTCAAAAAATATTTTTTGCCACATTCAAAAAATAATCTCCTGTGAATATGATTTAAAAATACTTTTTGGCTTATTAAAAAAATATCCTTAATTTGATTTAAAAAATATATTGTAAGTGAATAAGATTCAAAAATACGAGTTGTTTATACAGTAAGTATTTTTATTTCAACTTTCTTCAGACAATTATTTTTTTTATGCTAAAATCAACTTAAATGTTTTATAAACTGAACCGTCAGTGACCCAACGAATCACGGCTAGTCTAGACAATAATAAGAGTCTAATAGCTGCCCAAGGCTTTAATGAAATGAGGTAAAAATAATGATTTGCCTAAAAAATTAATAAAACTACTCCGTACCTATTATATATTCGGTATATCAACAAATAATATAACTTAGTTATAAAGTATTAAATTTTTGATTAATAATATTTTAATTTTAGAGACATATTAATGTCTCTAAAATTAAAATATTATTAATCAAAAATTTAATACTTTATACTAATCAATGTTCAAATACACGCACACACACACACATATATATATATGCACACACACATAGATACATACATACACACACACATATACAAGTACACATACATATATATATATATACATAAATAAAAATTATACAATATTTTTATCATCATTATTACTAAAATTATTATTGTTCTTATTGCATTCTATTTCATTTCTTCTTCATATCAGCAGAATCTGTTTTGTAACTTTCAGCAATTTGCTTCAATGGCTGCTACTAGAAGACGCTTTTGTAATTCAAACAGAGACGCCGTTAACAGAAATATTTAAAGAAAAAAAAAACAAAACAGAAAGCAATAATCAAAGAAATGTTAACATTTGCTCAAAAAAGTGATAGCAGTAACCGATCGGTCACGTTTGAATGGCATAATAACTTAATAAAATATCTTTGAAATTAAGATATCATTTATTTAAAATATACTTTACAGCAATGATCAAAGTATATATATATATATATATATATATGAAGAAAAATTTGGAAAAAAACAAACCAAAAATCCTTAAATGCATTGTTTAAAATGAATGAAATGTCGAAGTCTGACGTTTCGGTTTAATAAACCTTCTTCAAGACAATATTCATTAAAATACAATTCAGTTCAATTTTACAAAGACGATGGACATACAAAACAAGTCATATCCAAAACAGATAACTGTCGCCATGTGAAGACAACGTGACCATGCTAAACGGAAAGCTGATCATTTTAAAAATTTTCAGTTATCTTATTTTAGATAAGACTTGTTTTTTCCATCCATCTTTGTCAAATTGAACTGAATTGTATTTGTGAAAAATTAAACTGAAACGTCAGACGTCGATATTTCATTCATTTTAAACAAATATTGCATTTAAGGATTTTTGGTTTGTTATTTTTCCAAATTTTTTTCATTCATGGATCAATATCCATTTAAGCTTATATATATATATATATATATATATATATATATATATATATATATATATATTATATATTAAAAATGGACAAAGTACGACAATTATTTTAAGACATTTTATGTTCATCCTTTTTTTTTAATCGATAAAATACGATAAATGCTCTGTTTATAATAAACACTATTAACAACATTTACTGGCCTGAATGTCGAGAAATTTTCATAGAAAATATTCGTCCTCCGACAGGTTAGCAAGGTGATTTTCCTAATCTTCCATAAGTATATTATATCTGCTCAATGCGTATAGAAATGGAAACAAAAGACGTCACATTATGAAATGAACAAAGAGAATTATTTTTAAACGATTTTATATTTTTGAATATGCATTGAAGATATGAATTCGTGAGAAAATCATGGAAGACATTCAGTAAAATCGACCTTGATAACCGAAAATCATTGTGGCCTGATCGGTTAAGGTTTATTATAAACAGGATATATTTCGATTCCTGTCGGAGGAAATATTTTTATGAAAATTTCTCAGACATTCAAAAAAATGTTGTATAGTGTTTATTATAAACTTAAATATTTGTATCTATAAAAAAGAATGTCTTAAAAATGTCACACACACACACACACACACACACACACATATATATATATATATATATATATATATATATATATATATATATATATGACAAAAATATATATATATATATATATATATATATATATATATCTTGTCCACAGAATTCATATATATATATATATGTGTGTTTTTGTATGTATATTCTGTAATGACAAAAGTCTGCAGGTGTAGACTTTAATGAAGTTATATGCAACTGAGAATGCAAGTTTCGCGTATAGTGTCCTCTTATCGTCCCAGTAAACAGGAATAGTTCTCTCAAAGAGGTGAGTAACGAAACAAAGGGAGACTACTCTTCATTATTCATGACATATATATCAAATAAATTTTTAAGAAATATAATCCGTTTTATTATAGGATATTTTTTTTGCTTTTTTTAAAAATAAGAATTTGAAAAATTTATGATTTATAATTACATAGACTGAAATTAAAATCAGTTGGATATTTGAGTTATATTTACGTTGAAGTAAAGTATTCCTGAAAATGAAATGAATCAAAATATACACAAAATTACGACAAAAATCAAATTAATATCAAAAAAGGAAATAATTAATTACATAAATTGCATTAAATAAAAAGAAAAAAATGACGTTAAAATTGATTAGGAAACAAATAAATTTACGCTAAAATATTGACGCTAAATCCGTTATACATTTTGCGTTTCTACGTAGTCTACTTACGTGTCCGTCTTTGATTAGCATCTACAGCGCGTTGGACTCTTAATAGCTCTTTGCTTCTACGTAAACAGCAGCTCTCCACCTAACTCGATCCCGGGTAACTGCATCACAGATAGAAAATTTCATCATAGACTTTTTACACGTGTTCTTGAAGCGAAGCGAAATTCCATTATATACGTTTTACACTGCTCCCCATACAGTATCTGTTTAGAAATTCTGGAGTTATCCATGCGCGCAATGTGCTCAAGTCACCTGAGCCCCCGGGACCGCCGGACAGAAGATAATGACTGAAAGCCAGCTCTTTTGAGCACTTCGTTATCCGGGGTCCTATCTTACCAGGTGCCCCCCTGTGGGATTTCATATACCACCAAATAAGATCAACCAAATTGGATTTGACAATAACGCTATATTTTGTCAAGTATGTTGCAATTGTCTAAAATATATTTGCCTTAAGAAACCGGCAATTTAGTAACTTATAACTGTTTTTCTTTTTCTTTTCTTTTTTAAGCGTTTCACCCCAAGCAAGGCGGGAAGCCACTAGGACGCAAGGGGTTACAGAGAATTTAGAGCAGGATCAGATAGGAGTGATAGAAGAAAGGATGAGAAGAATTGTGGATAGATCAAGGCAACTGGAGATGTCGATTGACATTACATTTGAATAGCTGGAGATTATAGCTCTCAGGGAAACTAGAATAGGAAAGGGAGTTCCACAGGCGAGAGGTGCGAGACATAAAGCTATTGGAGTAGAAGAGACGGCTACATTTTTTAGTTTCGACAGTCGGGCGCTTGAACTCATGAAGCCTGGGAACCAGCGAATGCAGCTCCTCGGAGCAATTGCCATGAAAGTATTTGTAAAACAGACAGAGAGAGGCGACGGCGCGTCTGTGAGAAATTGACTGTAGACGAGATGCCAGATCAGGGCCAATTATGTTGCATATCCGCCTCTGGAGCCTATCAAGAACCCCGAGGCAAACAGAAGGGGCTCCAGACCATATATAGCAGCAATACTCTATGCAAGGGCGAATTGTTGATTTGTAGATCCGGAGGATCGATTCCGGGGAGAAAAATTTCCCGGCGCGGCACAAGGAGCCAACTTTCCTTGCGGTGGACGGAGAAATTGACTCAATGTATTTGTTCCACCTCAGGTCAGCAGTCAACGTGAGACCGAGCAGCCGCAGAGAGGTGCTCTCGAGAAGTTGAACGTCAGACATTCTAATGGAATGCAGGGAAGGATCTCTGTGGTGATTAATACAGAGCAGTTTTGTTTTTGAAGCGTTAAAGTTGACCAGCCAATTCCTGCCCCAGTTCACAACCGATTGGAGGTCCTTTTCGAGATGCACGACCAGGTTAGCTTTGTCACTGACACTAGATTTGTTTTTGAGGCAGGAATAAATTGTGGTGTCATCCGCGTAGATGCCAACTTGGGAATTTATGGCGTCAGGAAGGTCATTTATGTGGATAAGGAATAGAGTGGGGCCTAGGATGGAGCTTTGAGGAACACCTGCGTTCGTGGGATAGGAACTGGAGGAGAATCCGTTGAGAACGACCTTCAGTTCACGGTTTGACAGGAATGATTGTATTAGGTCAAACTATCGACCCGTAATTCCATAACCCTGGAGCTTGCGAAGAAGGCCGACATGCCAAACCCTATCAAATGCTTTGGAGATGTCAAAGGCCACAACACCAGCTTCCCCGTTATTTTGAAGAGCTCGGTAGACAGTTTCAGTGATGGCCGCAAGCACATCAGCTGTAGATCAGGCAAAGCAGAAGCCATATTGTTTGTATGAGAGCAGATCATGGGATGTGAGGTGGTTAACCACCTCGGTATTGATTAGGGCTTCGAAGACTTTGCCGAAGAGGGGAAGGAGACTGATAGGACGATAGTTAGAAGGGTCGCCAGAGTTCTTGAAGACAGGAACTGAAGAGGACTTCCAGCAGCCAGGAAAACAAGATACATTGAGGCAGTAGTTGTATAGTATAGGGCACCAGTTCAGGCGGGCATTTCCTCAAGACAAAAGCTGGTATCCCGTCTCCACCACTAGCCTTGTTGGGGTCCAAGTTGGAGATAACGTCCAATACTAATGACGGGTATGGGT